TTTAATGATTAATTTTTAAGTATTTCTAGAATGTAGATAAAATGAGGATTAATTACAAAACGATGTCTTAGGTTTACTAATTCAAATTTAGAAAAAAATTTACGTGATGCCCTTTTCCGAGCGTTACTGAATAGTAAACTGTTTTAAAAAAGTGTTTTATAATTTGGAATACCATCAGAATATCTGCAGTTTCATATTCCTTTTCGGGCAACTATCAGTTTTGAAAATAATTCAAGAAAACGTTGGTAAACTTTCTTAAGGTCACAAAATATTTAACTTTCAATTATTTTTGAAAATTTTAATTGTAATTTTATGGCATATTAAAATAAATTTTTTAATTTTTTTAAGAAAATATTTGCAGAATAGACAGAGAAAGTCGTGAGAAATTTTTAATTCTTAATTTATATTGTTCGCATATTTTTGCAAAAGCCTGGCTCAATTTTTTAGCAATGCCCTAATTATTTTCATAAGTTTTTAAAATCAAATAATAAATGATTGAACTAAAAAAGAATAATGAAAGTTAAAATCATCATCTGAAGGGTGCGCTATTATTAAGACAAGCAAGGAAGAAATTAAATCTTTCCGTATTTCATTTTAATAACTTTGAATATCAAATTGAATGGTTATTTGATCATCTGATTTCACCTTTTTTAAAAGGTTTTCTTTTCTTTTTTCTCCTTCTTCTTCGAATTTGATTATTGATCCTAGATCAATAAATTCAAATCTTTTCCTTTCATAATTATTAATAAACCGTTAAATGAGATCATAATGGAATAGTCTATGATGGGAAAGAAAAGAATTTTTCGATTGTATTTTGTTGCTTTCAAATGTAATAAAAGTATGTTATAAAATTCTCGCTACGACCGAAATGTTATAAAGATCTTGCATTAAAATTTGCTTTGTTCAATGTATAAATTTGGATTAATTTGATAAATTAGACCGAAATGATAAAGTTGGATGACGAAATGAAGACTTCCTAGGTTCATAATTAAGTTGCTACTACTAAATTTTAATAAGATATAAGACCAAGCAACAGCAATGGATAAAAGAAAATTCTCATAAGACAGTGTTCTGTTTTTAGAGTTGTCAGCTCATCCTGTAAGACTGCATGCTTTCTCTTTATATTCACAATAATTTTGTGTTCTAGTGAAGTCAGTTGTCGGGTGGTTCAATTACGTTACTCAAAAGAAAACTTTTGAGACAATGACATTATTCCCTAGACCAATGACCGTGTACACAAAAAGTAAGCATCCTATATTTATAAGGTGTAATCCTATATTAATAGGGTACATGAAAATAAAATAAAATCTAAAATATCATATTTAAGATTCGTAACGGTACAGTTACAAAAAATGCCCGTGAAAATGCACTAAAAAAAAAATAGAGCATTAAAAAAACACAAATAAAATTTTCATAAAATTTTTATCTCTTGTCTTCTTTTATACGCCGGGATTCGATTGCATAATTCAGTTTTCTTGTTGTTATTCTTATTGTTTTCTTTCATTTTATTATAAAGGATAATAAAAGATGTCGATGCATCGTCGTCAAATTTATTTATCTAGGAAAAGTAAAAAAACAAACCGAAAAAAATTAAGTGTTTTTTGTTTTGCAAAAAAAAAAAATTATATTAAAAAAGGAATTTTAACAGGCGTTGACATTATCGTGTGCATTGTAATACAGAGCGCTTCTTAAATTTTGTTGATATAAAATGAACAGTTATATAATATCGAATTCTATGAATTTAACTGTAAAATTTATGTTTTATTAATACATTTTTATATTGTGTAAATGTGTATATCGCATGAGTTGTCTATTTTTATAGAATTATAATTGCATATTTTCAATTTTTAATAATTCACTTTTTATTTTACATTAACGGTTTATTTATTCATTCTTGGAATACTTCCTGATCAATTGTGAATTATTGCAACTGGGTTTGGTTTTATATTAATAAAATAACTGTAAATAAGGATTAATATTTATTTTTATATTTTTGTTTTGAATTTTATCGAGAACGATAGTTAAAGGTGTTTTTTTTTCCATAAATTTAAAGGTGATCAAATTTTTTCTGAATATTCGAGAAAAGAGGAAAAGTAGGGCACCTAGACTATATAATTATAATATTAAATTTTTTTTTTTCTGTTGTTGTATAGCCACACATATTATGTTTGAATAGGTGTAATTTATGATTGAGAGTTGGTTTTTTTTTTTTAAAAATTATGAATACTGAATGAATTGTAAGGAATTAAGGGTTAAATAGAGTGTTGTTGGTATTTGTTTGTTATTTGTAGCCTACCTCATATAAAATTATTATTATTATTATTATTTTATTGATTATTCATCTTTATTTGATGATAAAAAAACTCTAGATTATAAGTTTTTTTTTTAAATAATAATAGAACGTATGCCTGCGAAATAAAACAAGGAAGAGAAGAAAAAAACAGTGAAAAAGAAATAAAAGGAAAAGGTGTTTTTCAATATATAACGGGAATATTATGGAAAATGTTTTAATTTAATATTAAAATAAAAAGTAAATAAATCAATAAAATATTGAAAGGGGTTAATGAAATTCAGGAAAAGAAAAATTTGTTTGGGGTTTACTAACAAGGTGAGATTTTTGCTTTGTGCTGGGAACTTATGGATTTTATTTTCTAATTTTTATTATATTCAAAAATGATTGTGTTTATCAATAATTTTTTTAAATATTTAATTATAGATACTTCTGACTTTCTTAATTTGCTTTAAAGTTTTATTAATCTAAAATTGTTTTCATATTTTTGAGTAAATGGAATTATTGAAGAATATCAAGATATATGAGCTTTTAAAATAAAGAAACTTAGAAATAAAGTGTTACATTCTTAAATAACTTTAATTTATTATTTCAAATAGTTTGCAACACCATACTGACTTCTTTAAATCTGTACCTAAAAATTCAATTAAAAAATTTATGTTTTAGCTTAATTAATTTTTTACGTATATATCGAAAAAGGATGATCAAATATACAAAATGTATGTATAGCTCCAATTGTAATTTAATTTGTTGCTTCAAATTCAAATGTAATTGTCGTATAGAATTTTATAATAAATATAGGATATTGGAAATTTTCGATTCCAATACCCACTCCAAGTCAAAAAATTGCAAAACTTTCAAATTATGATTAAGTAGTTCTAATTGCAATTTGAGACTAAAAGTATTAAAGTAAGACATTAAATTTAAATTAATAATTTCTATTTCTAACAAAATGGAAATACATTCATATTATCCAATATTAACTTTGTACTTAAACGTAAAATTCTTGTTATATTTATAGTAAATAGTGAAGATCTGTTACACTAAATGCTATTAGTCTAACTTGAGTTTGGTGTGGTTTTATATTATAATTTCAGAATTTCATTGTAATAATTGTTATTGTAATAAATGTCTCATATAAAATTTGTATATGAGACATTTATTACAATAAACAGAAAATACAATTCTGTAATTATGCAAGTAACTCCTGTTAAATGCCTAATTTTTTTCTACTAAAACATTCTAAAAACTATGCTACATGCATATTAAATTATAAAAATTTTTGTTATATTATTAATCAACATGTTTTATTTATTTTATTATAGAAAAATAAAACATAATATGTATATAAAAATATTTTAATTATTTTTTGAAAAATAATAAATTTAATTTGTTTATTATTTTGTATAAAAAAAAATCCTTGTTTTCTTCTTTAAAAAATAAAAGTTTTCTTAAATTATTAAATTTACATTATTTCAAATATTTATTTATTCTAGTTATATAAATTATTTTTTTTTTGTTATAAATTTAAAATTTTAGTATCAAAAATATTTTAAGATTGAAATCCTTATTTATAATTTTCTAAAATAAATATATTTAATTTAATAACTATATACTCAATAAAATTTACAATATTAAAAGGCCTTTATTAAAAAACTATAATTATGTCTTTTTTCTCTATTTTAATTTAATTTCCAATATAAAAATGGCTATAATTTTTTGTATTAGATCTGTTTTTGTATTTGAATTTTTAAAATTAATTTTATTCAATATTATTTAACTAAATATAATTATGTATTATTTATTTTAAGAATAATTAACTATATTTATTAATTTTTGAATTTAATTAAATTTATATATAAAAAAAAATATTTCATAATTACAATGTTTATTTTGTAATTTTAAGCGCTTGTCTTTTATGAATGTTCAGTTTTCTTTGAATTAATTAATAAAAATAAATTTTATCTAAATTCACATGTTTGATTTGTAATTTCATTAATATTATTTTTTAATTATATTTTGCAATGTTTATGGAATTATTGAAGAATATCAAAATAGACTTAATTGTTTCCATTAATTTATTTAATTTTTATTACTTATATAAGTGCTTTAAAAGTTATTGAACTAAATTATTTGTTTAATTTAATATTATAATTTACAATTACAGTAGAATGTCTGTATAATGAATATTTCAAATATCGAAAATTTTCATTTACTGAAAGATTTCTTTAGCAGGTCTGTTATATCGCGAAATTTTTGTATTATGAACAGAAATTCCTTTTTTATTAGATTTCGAATGTTCATTATATAGAGATTCCACTGTATAGTTTTAAGGAATTTTATACATTATAATATGTTTTTGTATAAATCAAAATATAAAAGAAATTAACAAATTACAAAAGGTAATAAATTCATATCAATTTTCAATTTTCAAAAATTTAAAAACACAAAGGAATTTAATAATGAACAATCTTTGAATTCTTAGAATTAGAAATATAAAATGTACTAAAAATACCTTTTTATTTAATGAACTTAAATAATTTTTAAATGATATTTATAATTGGAACTCAATATACAAAAATATGTTAATACGTAATATGCAATAATTTTTATAATTTACAATTTTAAACTACATCAATTTAAATTATCGAAATATACAAAATCCGCAAAATTATTTTCTTCTCCAATAAATGGAAACGAAAAACAACAATTAACATTCATCATTTTTCGGTGTATTTGCTTCCCACCATTCAATTGCTTCCATCATATTTTCTTCAGATAAATCTCTTGGGTCAAGTATAACATTTCTTTCCAATTTAACTTTTTGAATTTTTAATTCATCACCTCTTCGATTTTTTATAGTTTCCGGTTCACATCTACTTTGATTTATAACACTATCAATTGTTTCATAAATATTTGAATCATTTCCGTTCGTTACCATTGTTGTTACTATTGTCTTTGAAAAATCATGATTAGAATCAAATTCATGACCATTTAATTGTGATGAATTTGTTATCAATTGTTCATCAATTATATGTGATTGTTGTAAATGTTGTGATGGCTCTAATTTTACTTTTAATAATTGCTGTTGCTGAGATTGTTGCTGACTTTCCTGTTGATATCTTTTTTGTTCCTGATTATGTAAATTTTGTAATTCCGCCAATAAATTACTTTGATTTTGTATTTGTTGTTGATGTCCGATAAGATGATTATGATCTATTATTGCTGTAAAATTATTATTGTTATTATTATTTTGCCCGCCATTTGTTATGTTTGGTATTGTTGTATAACTTATTCCACTCATATTACTACTACTGTGGCTGCTATATTGATCTGGTGATGGTATTAAAGCAGGTGTATTTTCACTAATACAATTAATCGTTAAGGGTGAAACCGATTGTTGTTCAACATGTTGATGATGTTGATGTTGATGATGAATTGGTTGTTGATTATCTGATGATGGTGATGAATATTCCGAAAGTTGTAATATTCTTTGTTGATTTAACATTGATGTTGTAAAAGGCATTGATGGTAATGGTAATTGTTGTTGCGATTCAATTTGTTGAATGTTTGCAGATGCATTGACCATAAGATCACTAATATCAAGAAAAGTGTTTTTTACATTTAAATTTGTTTTTGAATTAAAAATGTTAATATTAGTTGGATGAATATTCTCTTCATTTTCTAACATTTCTGGTGTTATAAGTTGATACGTGTTTGTACCAGGAATTCTTATATAATCTTGTCCATTAATAGTTGTAATATCGGGTAAATTTTCAGTATAATAAATTGTGTTTTCATCTTGATCATACAAATTACCACTGCCATCGTCGAATGAAGAACCTAAACGATTTTCAGGGGAATCATGATTTATAGATGGTGAAGGTGTATTCGAATTTTCAAGTTTTATCACAGAATTATCATTTTTATTTAAATTCAATTGTTGCGGTTGTTGGGCTATTGATGGTTGTGGTGGTGGGGTTAAACATTGCGGTGGTGATGATTCTGATAAATTGGTAACAAAATCACTTGTCGAATTAAATAATATATCATCATCAGATGGTAACGGGCTTAACATACCATCAGAACCAGCTGATGACATCATACTACTTGGATATTCAAAACCTAAAATTCTTTCTAAACTCCGGATATATTCAACTGCCATTCGTAAAGTTTCAACTTTACTTAATTTTTTATTATTACCCCGACCCCCCGTAGCTTCAAAAGCTTCTGCAACTTCATCAGGTATACGTTGCCGCAATGCTGCAAAGCCATTATTAACTTGTTTAACACGATTACGTTCACGTGCATTACGTCTGGCTACTGCTTGGGGCAATGGAGTTGATTTTCGGCCTCCAGTAACAACTGGTTGATTTGTTTTTGTATTTGTACCACAAATTTTTGTTGTTGCATTATTTGTATTATTTGTTGACTTTTCGGAATTTGGAGATGTTTTTATTTTTTCATTATTTTTCGAATTAATTTGATTCAACTGATTTGAAGGATTGACTGTATTATCTTGTTTTACTGCAAAATTGGCTGATGTTGAATTCAAAGGCACTGTAATAGGGCTAGTATTGATTGTATTTGTTGTAGAAGTTGTTGAAATTATTCCACTTGTTACATTACTTGTAACATTTATTGGTAATTTTGTAGTTGTTGTAACATTTGATGTATTTATAATATCAGATAATGGCATTGTGGTTATTGTTACATTCTTCAATGGTCCTGTTATTCCTGATGATTGGTTACTAGATCCAGTTATTGTCATTAATTTTTGCTTTTTAATTGGTGGTTGTTTAATTGTTGAATCATTAATTGTTATTTGTTGATTTTCAATATTATGATTTGGTGGTTCTTTTAATGGTGTTAATTTTTGTTTAGTTCTCATTACAACAACATCAGTTCCGATCATACCAAAGCTTTCAATATTTGTTAAATTAATTATTTTATTTGGTTTATTATTATTTTTATTAATTGTATTATAATTGATATGTTTATCTGGTGTTGTTGTATTAATAATGGCTGGAGTTTGGTTTAAAGCTTTATTTAAAAAATTTTTATTTAACTTCAAACCATCTGGTAAAGTATATGTTAAAACTCCAATTGTTGCCATTTGAATTTCAAATACAAAATTCAAAATAATAAAATTACTTATATTTAAAATGTTTTATTGTGATTTTTTTTTTCTAAAATTTTGTTAGTCCATAAGTAAAGTTGTATATTAAAATTATTTAGAATATTAAGTCTAGATCACTTTTTATATTTTGATTTCACTATATAAATAAATTCTAATTCAGTTCAAGAATCACTTGATTATTAAAGTTAGTCTTAAGTTTTCATTCATTTTTATTTAATAACTATTTTTAATTTTTTTTACTTAATTTAATTAAAACACAATTTATTGTCCTTTGTTTCCTATACTATGCTTAACTATAATATATCCAAAATTATCCGTTATAATATTTTAGTTTTTGTTATTTTTTTTTCCAATACAATATAAAAATAAATATCTTGTGGTTTCTTTTAAACTATTTTGATGTCTGAAACATCCTTGTATAGGACGATTTTATAGGAGCAGATGGTAAATTGAATATGTTGCACAATATATACAGACATTTATAATTTTTTTTTTTTATAATAGGTGTATAAAATGTGTGTATTCTTTATTATAGTTTTCTTTTAGTGAATTTATTTTATTATTATTTTTTTTTTGTCGAAAATATTTTTTCAATTCCGTGTCGCGTGCCCAATGTCTTGCAATGAAATGAATAACGATCGAAGTACCGATATACATTAAAGGTGCAACGAACGGCATCAGAACATTTCCATTTTATGTTGTTGTTCTTGTTATTTTTTTTTTTTTTGATTAAACGTACGTAACAAATAACATTAAAAGCAAAAAAAATATATAAAATTGGAGAAAATATACTACATATTTTTGATTACATATTTACATTTTAAAAATTATACATAAATATACACACAAACATACATTTTTATATTATAATGTTAAACTTGCATATTACACATTTGTACTTTTGTATAAAACGAATGTATCCTTTATTATTGTTATTATTGTTAGTCTCTACTACTCTTTTAGGTGAACGTATATAGAAAATAATGAATAGATGACTTCTATACTACAATATATATTGTATTTATGTATATAAATTGTTGTAAATTAAAAGCATTATAATTATATATTTCGGTTATTTTCTTTGGAAAATCATCTTCTCTGTATTTGTAAATTTATTGGAAAGTTTAACTTTTAAGTACTACATTTTGTATAAGCACACACTATAATTAAATTATTGTATGAATGTATATGGTATGAAATATACATATAAAATAGGAGTCAATGATATTCACCCATAGTATATATGTGCACTCATACATTTTAATAACATGTACATGAAGTAATATTGCGCGCTTTATTGCAAATTCTGAGGTACAGAGTATCTAAATAGAAATAAAAGTTAAACTAACATATCGGTTATAACTAAATATGGTTATGTTGCGAGAATTTTGGCATTTGATTTTATAATTTATTAAAAAAAAATTTATTAAATTAGGTATAATATTAAAAATGGTATTGAAAAAAAATTTCAAATAAATTTTAATTAGATCATGTGTTTCAAATGATGAACTAGATTGTGTAGACTCCAGGCAGACCCAGTGGTCAGCAAAAGTAGAATCCAGGCCGATCAGATGAAACTAAAAATATACTTGATTCAACAGGAACTGGTTTGTAAACTGAATTTAGACAATCAAGCAACTTCGAATATAGCTTTGAACACCCAAAACTATCACGTGTTTTATTTAGTCTGCTTTTATATTATAAAAAAATATCATAAACTGCATTATTTCTTTTATTCAATAGTTTATTTTTCCGATAAAATGTTTCCACAATGCATTTTCGTTCGTGTTCAATATTTTTTTTCCAAATAAACCTCTGCATTGTCCTTCTTTTTCCTTAAATCTTCTTTAGGTGTATAGTATGATTTCGGTTCTAAATTTTTCTTCTTTGTGGAAGGCATTCATTCAGTACATTTTCTTTAATGATTTTATTGCAGATTATAAGTGAGATGTTGTTTTCATTCAGAATGTCACAATCGACAGCCCAAAACTCTTGTTGACAGATTTTTTTACATGTTGTAATAAGCTCTTTTCTATCTGAAAGAATTTCAAAGAAGAATTTTAGTTTTTTTTGAAAAATTATCAAGTTTTAGGCGCTTTAATTAAAAAGCATATTTTTCTCTAGAAATTTATTTAATTTAAATTTTGGATTGATGAACACCCTGTAGCTCAAATTACAAACTAATTTTTCATTTCTTATTACATATATTTTGTATAAATACATAATAATACAGAAATGTGTTATATAAAATGACAATCCATATATGCACACACATATTTTGTGTAGTATTACAAAAGTACAAAAAAACATAATAATAATAATAATAAAAAGGATATTGAATTTATTGCGTGCGCCCTTAAAAATATTGTTACCCTCCAGTGGTTTTAAAACAAAATTTTATACATAGAAAATTTTTTTTTTTATTTTTATTCTGCTTTTTGTCATTTTTTCTTATTTCTTTGGAATAAAATTTGTTTATGTGTTATGTATTTAAAGGAAATTCTAAAACCATAATAATTTTCTGTACCTTTTAATTATATATTTACGTATTACAGTAGAAATAATAGACTGATCGAGCCGAAGGGGAGGAATATATAAATAGGAGAAAACTAAAAAAATTTTTTTCGATGTGTGTTTGAAGTTATATACAAAATAATATTCTCCCCTTATTTAATATACTTAAAATAAATAATATTATATATTGTATAACAATAACGTACAAAATTATAATAGGGTGTTTAAAAAAGAAAAAAAATATACGGTATGTACCAAAATATTCTTTAAATCGTAAAGATTTTCGAAAAAATTTTGAACTCAATTTAGTTTTCTTTAATGATTTAGTTGTAGATCTGGTAGAGTTATTACAAATAAGGATTGATTTTATGGACACACAAACAAGAAACCTCATGAATTAAATTAAAAATCTTTAAATTATATCGCAAATTATCATAGATTACTAGGAGTAAAAACTAAATAGTTGACCGAGAATTTGTATACTTTTTAGTCCACAGATAGCGGATATCTTTCCAGAAGAACAATATGAATTTCCAACAATTGAAAAACCATAGCTGCCGCTTTAGTTGCAAATAATTAGTGATGCCTCCGAATTGTTGTTCAGTTTCTAGTTTTCTTTATTATTGTATCCTCAATTTCATTTTACGACTTGTTATGTGTGATATCTTATTTCGAAAGTAGCATTATGAATGATAAGGAACAATTTTGAGAACAGAAGACTACACTTCTTTTAAATCTGAATAAAATTGTTTGCAAATTCGTTACCTTGTCTTAATTACGAAAATCGCATTCAATTTTGAATATGAGTTGGTTTTTTTTTTCGTTGAATTTCCAGCTCTGCCGCAAAAGCTTAAAATAAATACAAAAGTACTGTAATTAAAGTATATGAAAAGGAATCAACTAATACATTTAAAAATTTTTTACACATTCATATATCACAAAAAAAAAAAAATCATATGAACACCAAGTAAAAATTTTAACCGTTTTTCGTTTTGTTTCCAACATAATAAAAAGGGGTTGGAAAGTTATTTACTTTTCGCCTTTATTTTCTAAAAAAAATTTCAATGTATTTGAATTTTTATATACATATATATTGAAAAGTCCTTCAATTCAAATCTCAAATTACAAATACATTAACAAAAACTTTTGTTGCTTGTAGAGAAGTCAACTATCATTTTTATATCCGTTTTAGTCCTTGTTGAGTTCAGACAACAAATTTTTTTTCAATAAGCTCAACATTTTATAAATTTAGTTATTTCGGATTCTTTTTATAATATTAATATTATTATAAAAAAGAGAATATTAATAAGAAAAGGGGTGAATATTATTTTCTCTGATATTTTTTTCATTTTTGGTTTTTACCTTGGGCTTACGTTGATTTCAATAAAAACAGGTATTCGCAAATATAATTTGAATTATTATTTATTCGACTCCCTTCTTTATACAGCATATATAGGGATTTGTTTTTTGTTGTTTTTATATTTTTCCAAAAATATTTTAAGCATACTAAATAATAATTATGAAAATAAATATTAAATTCAATAGGAAATCTGCGGTTTTTTTTTAAGGAGTGCTTTGCAAATTAAGGAAGTCTTATTCATGGTATAGAAAGTGAGAACATGTTTCCTATTACAAAGTGATTTATTAGTATATGAAATTCATAAAGTAAAATTTCCAGAACAAAATTTTTAATAAATTTAAAGTTTTGGATTAGAATTTTGAAATAAATTAGCTTTAATATTTCTGGGCTTTATTATTTAAGGTTTCTCTAAAAATTTCAAATTCCCAAAAGTTGATTAAAAACTTACATAAAATATACAGAAAATTTGAAGAAAATTAAATCGAATTCAGTTAGCAAATATTTTTCGACCTAAAATCTACGTTATGGAAAACTGTTAAGATTAAAATGGAACTTTGAAATTGTTTGAATCAATTACCATTCTAATGGTGTGAAATATGCAATCATGCATATGTTGACTGATCAAGGAAATGTAAAATCTGCAGATTTAAGCCAATGATGTTTAATAGCTTATTAACTACACATTTTTCAGTCCTTTGGGTATTTAATTAAGAAATTGAATTTTCCCGGCAATTTCAAGTACATATTCGTAATACATTAAATTGTTTTTGAATCAAGTTTTCAATGTTGGAGTTCGGATAAATTACATAATTGTACATTTTCGCGTATGATAAAAATTAACACATGAAACTTAATTTTTGAAATTCATCAATAATTGACTCGGACTCAACAATCAAACAGA